TCAAATCATTAAATCTTGATAAATAGTGGATTGAATCTAATTTCAGTTTTCCTTCTTTGGACATGAACTAGAGCTTTATGTAGTTGCTATTTATGTATTTCCGATAAGAATATCTTTTAAAAAAATTTACCACTTTTTAAATTGTGAATGAATAGACTTACCACGGAATATTAAATATATTGTGGAAGGATAGCCCTTCAAATGCCTACCACAAAGTGTTATGAAGTTCGTATATAATGTATAAATCAAAACTTATTTTAAATTTAGTAAAAATTTAGTTGTTTTTAAGCTTTTTAAATATTTAGAATTCGTAGATAGTTTAAATAAAGAAATATTTATAGCCAAAAATTTAGTTGACTTAAGTCCTAAATATTAGTGAAATAACTTAAATTGCAGTTTTGTCTAGTGTGAATTCTATTTTTAAAGAGTAAAAAAGACGAACGACATTTCGTTAAAGAAATTCGTGCTTTTAATATAGTATAGATAATGAATTCTGCGTTCTGAGGCCTTAAAAACCTCTTTCAGCATCACCTTGATTTGCATGCGCAGTCCGGCCACGTAGCCGAAAAGCCAACATGTGAAAATTTGTGAAAAATAATGAATTTTGACTTTAAAATGAATTTAAGTTGACTTCGGTCAACATTTTGGGTAAACGGACCTGAACCAGTAGGAAAATATGGGACTTGGGCGTATGCCCGGAATCGAATTCCGAGGTCCCAAGCCCGAGAAATGAATTTCTGAAAGAAATTGTTTCGCTGAATTAATTATAAAGTAAAGAAAAGAATTTATGTTTGAAACCATTGGTATCGGGGCCGTATTTTGGTTCCGGAGCCCGGTATAGGTCTTATATATGATTTGAGTCGAGCCTGTGAAAATTGGTAAGGAACGGACTTGAAATGACGTGAATCGGACCTTATTTGAGAAATTTGAAAATTTTGAAGTTCTTAAGTAATTTCATGATTTTGATGCTAAATTCATAGTTGTTGATGTTATTTTGGTGATTTGATGGCACGAGCAAGTCTGTATGATATTTTAGGTTGGTATGCATGTTTGGTTTGGAGCCCTGAGGGCTTAGGTGAGTTTTGGATAGGCCACGGAGTAGAATTGGACTTGGGAAAATTGCAGGTCTTCAGCTGGTATGGTCAGGTCTGCAGGCTTCGCAAATGCGACAAATCCTCGCAAATGCGAAGAATGGACCTGGGCAGCCTTAGTCGCAAATGCGACTAATGGTCTCTCGCAAATGCGAAGAATGGACCTGGGCAGCCTTAGTCGCAAATGCGACTAATGGTCTCTCGCAAATGCGAAGATGATCGGAAAGCTGATTGGGTCACAAATGTGAAAGTCCCAGTTTCTGAAGGGTTCGCAATTGCGAACCCTGGTCACAATTGCGATATCAGAGACCTGTAAATTCACACTTAGACGCATTTTTAACCATTTTTCACATCTTCTCAAAACATAAACTCTCTTGGGCGATTTTCCAAAGAAAACTTCTTCTCCAAATCAATTTTAAGTCGTTTCTAACTAGTTTTCTTCAATCCTAAACATCTTTTCACATGATTTCAACTCAAAATCAATGATTTTCATGAGGGAAATTGGGTGTTTTGGGTAGAACCTAGGTTTTTCAAAAATTGAGGATTTGGACCTCGACTTGAGGTCCGATTTCAAAACAAATTATATATTTGGGTTCGTGGGGGAATGGGTAATCGGGTTTTGGTTCGAACCTCGGGTTTTGACCATGTGGGTCCGGGAGCAATTTTTGACTTTTTGGGTAAAACTTTGGAAAACTTACTTTCATGCATTAGAATTGATTCATTTAGCATTTATTGACGTAATTAAGTAACTTATGGATAGATACGAGCGAATTGGTGGTGGAATCAAGAGGTAAAGCGATAATTGAGACTTGAATTGTGTTCGTGGCATCGAGGTATGTGTTTGGTCTAACCTTAGCTTGAGGGATTAGGAGTCGTGTCTTATTTGATACGTGTTAATTGTGGAGTACGACGTATATGCATGGTAATGAGTATCTATATGTCGGTGTCAAGCATGCCCGTAAATCTTGTATTATAATTGTTATGACTCCGTTGTGGTTTATTGCGCTTCACATGTTATTATCATTATTGTTTCCTTGTCGGGATGTTTGTTTTGATATTATTGTTCCCTTGCCAGGATGTTGTTGAAATATTATTATTCCCTTGTCGGGATGTTGTTATATTGCTCTTGTTCCCTTGATGGGATTCTTTAGTGATTGTTATTGATTTGTAACTGGGATCAGGTGGCACGCCGCCACGGAAATATATGAAATGGGAGCGGGTTGCACGCCTGCAACGTGATATATGAAATGGGAGCGGGTTGCACGCCTGCAATGAGATATATGAAATGGGAGTGGGTTGCAGGCCTGCAACGAGATATATGAAATGGGATCGGGTTGCACGCCTGCAACGAGATATATGAAATGGGATCGGGTTGCACGCTTGCAACGAGATATATGAAATGGGATCGGGTTGCACGCCTGCAACGAGATGTGAAATGAAAGTGAATTCTGCATTTGTTTTCCTTATCCTTGTTAGTAATTGGATTTTGGTTCCTTTATATTCCTCTTGATATTCTGTTGTTATTTGTTATTCCTCGAAGCATGTTTTCCCCCTCCCAGCTTTAACTGTAATTATCTGCTTTTATTTTTCCGTTGTACATGATTTAACTGCACATGTTTATTTGGTAGTCTGGTCCTAGCCTCGTTACTACTTCGTCGAGGTTAGGCTAGGCAAGGCACTTACCAGCATATGGGGTCGGTTGTACTGATACTACATTCTGCACTGTGCAGATACTGGTACTGGAGCGTTTGGACAGCAGTGAGATTGCTGCCTTCAGTCTAACAGGCGACCCGAGGTAGTCCTACAGGCGTCCGCAGGCCTTAGCATCACCTCCTATCTTTCCTTTATCTTGTTTCCTTTACTTATTTCAGAAACGGTGTATCTTTTATCTTTCAGACTTTGTATGTAGGATTCTTAGACCGTCTGTAAACTTGTGACACCAAATTTTGGGTGGAGTTATATTTAGACTTCCACAGTTTGTATTAAGATAAATTATCAGATTTTGTTTTCCGCTTAATTATTTCCGCTCTTTGTATGATATCTACTCATCGGTGATAATGGTTTAAAACCGAAAAAGGTTTAGTAATTAGAATAATTTGATTGTCTAGCTCACATTAGTAGCCGCCATCACGACTCTTGAGGGCGAGAAATTCAGGTCGCGACAGATAGATTATATGTCCAAGTCACAACGTAAAAGTAAAATATTATGGCTGCAAATTAAAGTATTTAAGTTTCTAAGGTCACGCATGAAAAGTTAGATTCTTGCAAAGCTACATCAACGGTGAAAACCACTACGTCCTGATTTTTGTCTCTCGTACATGAACTCAAATTGAATGTTAAAACTCTCTCCCTCCTTCCTATTTATTTTCTTTTTCTAAATATCTTTGTTATTACAGTAATTATGAGGATGAAGTTTGTGAATTTTATTTTAATGAAAACAAAAATTAAAAAGAAGAAGAACAACAACATCAACATCAGTTTGTCTACTACAATTGTTGGTAAATTACCTTTAAGCAAACATTGATGAGTATTATTTGGTTATTTCCAATAGATCCGTTACACACTTGAAGGTGTATAACTCTTAAGACTCAAAATGAAGAAGATTATAAACTTTTATAAAATTATCTTTCAAAAGAACAATGGATAACATTATCGACGTTGGCTTAATTATTCTCCACTGAGATAGGCAAAATTATTTCTGAAAGAAAATTTGTGTCATCAATTAAACAAATTAAAATATTTATAAAAAGACTGTTTATATTCTCGTGTGATAGTGATTGAGAAAAATCTATTATTAAACAATGCAATAATATCAGGATATGAAGAAGGATAAATAATACAACAAAAGCAAGAAGGCATGCTAAATCTCATAGTTTGTTCTTGATTAAAACAGAAACATGGAGTTAATTTTCGAGAGCGAATTCATGTAATAAAGAAAATAAAATTACCAGTAGAACGTGATCCTTCATATTGAGAGCATTATGGTCAACATGTTCTTGTCTAACTTGGATTGGTATGCCTTTGTATGACTATGAAACTTATGAAGATTAAACACCAAAATAAAAGAAGAAAGTAATGCTTAAAAAATATTAACCATGATTAAAGAAAAATTAGTATCTAAAATTCTAAATTAATCAACCTTTGGAAAAAATCTGCTATCAATTATTCTTTGATGAGATACTTACTAATAACCTGTTGTGCCAAAACGTGAATATGCAACTTATGAACAATTGCGGCGTTAATTCGGAACTCATGGATATGTTTTATAGTTCGTGCAATTATTAGAGTTGAGTAGGTTTCATTTATTATAGGGAAAAAAAGACTCTTATAAACCTAAAAGTATAGGGAGGAAGTCCTAGAAGTTAGGGAAATAATTAATTGTCTATTCCTAAATATTAGAAAACTAACTTAAATTACTATTTTGTATAGTGTGAAAATTAATTTTGAATGGTTAAAAAGGCGAACGATATTTCGCTAAGAGCCTTCGTGCTTTTAATATAGTTATAGAAGATAAATAGATATAGAATATAAATAGATATAGATATAAATAGATGGATAACACGTAGTTCTTTCTTCATTTATACTATTAGCCACCCGATTTCCAAGTTATTCCCTTAAATTTGAAATCTAACCCAAAAGAGGAACGGTGCGGTGGGTATGGAAAATTCTTAATTATGGGTATTACTTTTTTCCTTATCCTCACTCCTCAGTAATATTAAAGATCGAACTCATTACGTTGATGATCAAACTATTAGTTATGACCATAGATGGTTAAGTTCCAAAGGAATTCATGAGCAACATATACCTCCGCCTTAATTAATTAATTATAAATAGGAAAAGAGGATCTTTTCGTTTTCTTCCGAATAACACATGACTACAAAAACCGAAAGCAAGTAAAACAAAACAAAGAAACAAAAAAAGCTCAATAAATATAAAAAAAGGTAGATACATACCCCTGTCGATTCTTACGATTATTATCAGTATACAAGGAAAAAAGGATAAATACAATTACTTTCTAGCATACCGTTTTAATTAATATAGTTTCATCCTCAGTTTTATCCATACCAATCAACTCTCTTGCTCTCTCAGCTTGCATCAACCAGTCCGTTCTACTCAATACAAAAATCATGAGAAATGCACAAACAGCTTGAGCAGCCAACAAGCCCATGCAAAGGCCCAACAAGCCCATTTTCATAACAAAGCCCAATACAATTGCCAGAGGCAACCCAACCCCATAGAAAGAGCCCAAGTTTATATGAACAGCCAGAGCTGGCCTTGCACTGCCCCTCAAAGCACCACAACCGGTGGTCTGCGGGCAGTTGCCCAATTCACACAACCCCACCACCGGCATTGCCACCGCCGTTAGCGACAAAATCGCCTCATCGTCCGTAAAAACCTTGCCCCAAGCATTTCGTAACGTAGTCATAAATAGCATTGCTATGAAGCTAGTAAATATGGCACATAAAACTGCTACATGACATGAAGTCTTTGCTTTATTAGGTCGATTGGCTCCTAACTCATTTCCTACCCTTGTGGAAACAGCTAAACTTAATGCTGAGGGAAATATATAAGCAAGTGAAGTTGCCTGCAAGAGAATTCCCATTGTGGACACAGCTTCAGCAGCATTAAAAAGCACCCCTGATAATAATATCATCAGTTCATACCACCACCACTCTAAGCATACAGAAATGCAACTTGGGATTGCAAGACTCAAAATTGGCCTCCACCCATCAAAGCATTCAGCGGACCAACCTTGCCAAGATTTTCTATGAACATCAGAAAGACTAACATAAAGAAAAAGAACAATAAGTAGATTGAAATCGGCTATGGCTACAGCCATTGCAACACCTTTAATGCCAAGTCCAAGGTGATAGATGAGGAAATAGTTGATAGGTGCATGCAGGGCAAGGGAAAAAGCAGCGCTAAACGTAAGAGGGAAAGTAACATTTTGAGTTCGCAAATAGATTTTGAGAGGATTGATAAGGGACTGAAAGAAAAGATCAGGGAGACAGAATGATAGATAAGTAGAAGCAATGGATGAAATGGTTGGATCTTGGCCACAGAAAAGAAGTAAAGGTTCCATCTTAAGCCACAAGAGAGAGATGGGAATGGATGAAAATAACAGAATCAAGATTGTACGTTGGAGAGCTTGACCCATAAGAGGCCATTGCTTAGCACCACAAGCTTGAGAAGATATGGCTTCCATACCCATAGCAAGACCAGAAAGAACAGAATAGCCTGTGATATTAGCTATGCCAATAGACAAAGACCCGCCAGCCAGTGCTTCTTTACCTAATCTACCCATGAACAGCATTGATATCATTGATTTTCCATATATCAGCAATCCAGCAGCGATGATGGGTAAGGCTATGGAATACAGCAGTTTGATCTCCTCCACAACCTAGAGTCAGATATTCCAGTGTCAACATTCAATGGCCATCTAGATTTCTAAACATTCTTTCTAAAAAGAAAAGGGATTTAAAAAGCTAACCTCTGAAATGGTTGGTCGATGCTTCTGTCCTTGTTCATCACCTGCATGAGTTGCTTTCAATCTCGGAATACTCGGATCCATCAGCAGAGGCGTTGAAGTTGCTAGAGCCATCAGGATGAGAATCCGAGTGAGGATTGGTGAAAAAGGGGTGCGACAGAATTGGCGACTCCACTGGTGAAGTTCTCCTACGAGTTTATAAATGCAAATATTGTATCTTCTTGCTTTATGAATTATGCCGCCTACTTGTTTTTCGTATTAATTGCTTTGTGACTCAATGAGACGGAAAGAAACAGTAACTACAGAGGACACATTGAATGTACAAGCGGAACAGAGCAAATGGAAGTTGTCGTGTGTGATAAAACTACATAGTACACAGAAGAGAATCCAAGTTCATTCGCCTTTGCAATGAACACTCCTTTCACCTTCTATTTTAACGAGCAAATGTGCGCATAGCGTTGATATGTACCCGTGGGTGAGTGGTGAGTTCGGTGGTTTAAAATGGAGTGAGTGAGACACAGGAAAGATAAGGTGGAAGGTGTACATGGGGAGGACCTTTGTCATTTCTGGACTTGAAGCCAAATCTTTTGTTGGATTCCATGCAAATGCCAAATTTCAGTAAGCTGTCATCACATCTCTTCGTCATTTAGATTCTCTGCCTTCTGTTGCTTCACATTTTTAATTTTCAGTTTAATTTTATTAAAAAAAAAATTCATAATATCATTTGCTTAATATCGGTAGGAAGCATGAACCATTATTTAAAAAAATTCGGGGGTTACAGATCTCTTATTCTACCATCGATCGACAGAGCAGAACAAGCAGAAAAAAAAAGAAGTTAAGTTATAAAGCCGTATGATAGGTGGTAACTATCTTGTACGGTTCGGGGTAATCGGTGTACTCCGATTAGTGGGGGTAAGAGGCAACAAGTACTTGATAGAATAGTCAAGATATGCAACTAGAACACCATCTTTACACAAAAAATAATAATAATAAAATAACACTATCAGCAGGGGTGGATGCACGCCTGAGGAACCGAGGTCACGCGACACCGCTTCACCGAAAAATTTTCGACAAAATAACACCATTTAACATAAATTGTCTCTTGGTGTGTTAGCTATCTCCTTGATTTTGCTTAAGAGGTAAGAGGTTCAAACGTCAACAAGCTCTTTTTTTTTTTTTTTGCTTTTGCAAATATTTGAGAGAGCCTTTGCAGTTAAAAATTCTGATGAAGCAGAATTCAACTCATGACCTTTTCTAACTTAACACTCAATAAAACTAACATACTAAAGTTATTTTTTGTCTAGAAGTATGATAATTAAAGTTATTATTCTCGTTCTTCTATAAATTTCGGTACTCCTAAAAAAAATTCCTGCGTAATCTCCTGACTGTCAAATTATTTATTTCAAAGTCAACTGCTATATATGGCAACTGTGAATTAGCAACTTAGAAAGGAAAAAAAAAGTAACAATGTCACATGCAACAACTAGTTAAAATACATCATTTACATTGGGAAACTAAGAAGAATAACTACCTCTTACAAGTGATAACTTGTATACACTAAAGTGTGTATAAGTTAAATTGTTTTTTTTCTCTTCGAAAATAAAAGTGAAAAGGTAAGTTATAACACTAAATAAATAAATGTGAATAGTAATAAATGTCATTCCAGCGTTACCATAAAACTCGAACCCAATTCTAATTATTAGGCCCTCCCATTTTAACTCCAGAGAATCTGGGGGATTTGCATCGTCTGTGGGTGAGGATTGAGGAAGAAAGTGTCATCAACGTAGCATGGTAATCACCACGTATATGAAAACTCTCACAAAGCATTGCACGTGTAAGCACACATCACTTCTCCTTTGTCTAGGAGTTGATAAGTAAAGCCATGGAAGATGAAGATCCAAAAGGCAAAAGGAGGTCAAAATATATGTTCCACGTGCAATTTTGGACTGGAGTTTAACAGATTTTCGTACAAATGTAAATTTTGGTTAATGAAATTTTTTTGTCTGCCTGCCAGATTTTCGAAACCCGTATTCCTTGCTACTAGCGGTAAGAACAATCGGAATTAGAGGCAACACCATCAGCTAGCTTTTAAGCATTGGCGAATGACAGTTTGTTTCAAAAACTAATACTGAAATATGCTTTAATTTGACTACTTCGATTAACCCTTTTTGTGTTCCCCGCAGAAACTTGAGTAGATTTATCTGGTTCTAGTACCATAAGTCCATAGCATCAAATTAACATGGCATTCTCTTATTACCAAGTGTAATCAATCTATCTAACTTGCAGCATCCCCTGCTGCTCATGAACCTAAATTGCAAAAATGGATTAAGTAGGATTCTAGGGGACTTGTACAGGTAATAAAGTAGATATATATATTTCTCGTGTTTTTAGTTTAAAATAACCCATTATTGACGGAAGCCAAGATGATGAGAGTACTCTCTAAGTCATCAGCAGCATACTTAGGTAGGCCACCTTAGTCCAGTAAAATTGTTGTATGAAGAGCAGACATCCATGGCAAAGGTGCCGATGATATTTCCCCTTTTTCTCATAAAATTTAGGGACCATATGGTTATACATCCTCATTGTGTTCCCTTTCTTCCCTTCCATAAGACAGGATCTATCTCTATCAATATCTTCCACAGTTGATCAAGAAAGAGACGGACAACAAACACTCAAGACTAATTGCCCCGAACAAGTCATGCACTGGCAATAAGATTTCACGTGACCCTTCTGTTTCCATGGAAAATTTCATCAACCAATTGCTCCGTTTCATTGCTTTGCATGTCCCCTTCAAATGTGGGGACCTAACACTCCTGATTATTGCATGAAACTGAAGATTCTTATCTTACTTTTAAGTTTGTGCTAAGAAAAGAAAGGTTATAAGTGATGGACCAACTGCATGGATTTGCCGAATCAACTCCCCATCTTCGTTATTGATTGACAATATACTATCCACATAACTATTAATACATGCTGGCAGGGGTGAAGCTATGTTGGCCCAAGGATGGCCAACTGAACACCCTTCACCGAAAAATTATACTACGTATAAGGTAAAATATTACTTGTTATTGATTAAAAATAGACTTTGAACACTCTTGCGTAGTCCACTGCCAAAGGGTGTTCAAATTAAAAAATAGAATTTGAACATCACTAGCAAAGGGTGTTTGAATTTCCTGGCTTCGCCACTGCATGCTGGAGCCATAGACCAAACACTTACTAGCAACCCCTTCGTTATGTGATAATATATACTGAAGTCTGAACGATAGGATATGAGTTATCGGTAAATATAAACCTCCACGGGGTCAGAGAGAGGAGGTTCACAAGTTCGTAATGTACCTTCTTTTGTCTCTCTAAAAGAATGGTCACGATAAATTATATATTCCCTAGAGTTTTTTGCACAAGGCATTCACATAGAAGTTTATGGAAGACTTGTATATTGAGCGTCAGTGGAAGTAATAAGCAAATGTATTAGTTGGTGCACCTCATAACAAATGTTACAGTGGAAATTCCCAAGGCCAAGAATATCATTCAACTTTGCCTGCATATCACATAAAATCATTAGGAGAAAATAGACATAATATAAAACTGGGAGTTTTTTATTACAAACAATTGTTTAGTGACTTTATCTGATACTTAGGTAAGTTAAATGACTTTTTCTTTATAAGAAAATAGTTTAGTGACTTTGGTGCAATAAAGTAAAAAATAGTACAATTATCCCAAGTACTATTGGGAGGTAAAATATCGGCTATACAAGTTACTTTTTGGAAGGATGGTAATGGACATTGTGAAGTACTGGGATTGGAGGGAAATGATTCTTTTATACCACTGATTAATGAACGGACCTTTCCTTCTTTCTTATAAATAGTAGACAGAGTAAATTGTAGAGTAAAAGCACAACTGGAACTCATCATTGGGAAGAAGACTGCATAGTTAGACAAGATCCAAATTCCTTCAGTGAAAGCCATTTAGGATATGTTTAGTTTTCCCTCAAGACTAACCGAGGTATAATTCTTGGAACAATCAAATGAAGACACCTAGCAAGCTTTCGTTATTCTCTATCCCATACTTGGTTTAGGGGATTAAGATTGAGTTAAGGGTAGATAGTTCAACTGTTTTCCAAAAACACCAAGCATGTAGCAATCACTTATTTTGCAATTTTTATCAAGAATATCATAGCTAATTGGGCATAAAACTTTACTCAAGTACAATTGAGGGAATCTAACTGTATGTGAAATTAGACATAGACTAGGGAAAAGAAAACGACCTGGAGAAAATACATCTTACCTTCCCACAAAAATAGTCTTGTTCTCCAGTAGCATTTTTTTGCTTCTTTCTTCTTAGTAATTTTCATCCAACTTTACATATGTAAATCTATTTATACATATCCATAGTCACTACAATCTCATCGTGGAGAGAAAAGATATATAATGCAAATAGAGATAAAGGCCTTTGAGGGGCCGAGCAGAAAGCACAGCTAAATATAGTTAGTAACTTAGTATAGTTTAAAGTGTTGGTTAAAATCCAGAAATTTACAACAAGAAGCTTCAAATGGTACACATCTAACCTCTTGGAGTCAAGATTTTAATGGATGTCATTATCTGTAAAGCAGACACAAATATAACCTATTTAACAGTGTGGGGACTAAAAGCAAGACCTTAAAAATCTGCTCCACATCATGCAACTCATTCATTGATCTGGGCCTGAGCAGGTCTATTCCAAAATCTTCTTAGAAAGATCCCAATTAATTTATTTGGCTTCAGACCAATCTCCCGGTCCCAACCAAATCACTCTTTGAATGGGGATAAAAGATATATGATGAAATAGAGATGAAGACTTTGAGCAAACTGACTAAGATAATAATACATACTAGTAACAGATTAAAGAAGTTGTTCTCTCTTGTCTTTATACTATGATTCTCTTTTCCTTCTATCAACTTCTTTTCTCTCAGAAAAATTGGAATTACAATATTACTACACTTATTACGGTTTCCAGCTCTATGCCTATTAGATGATTAATTCATTAAAGTTCAACAACAGTAACACTAAAAGTCCTCCTAGTCAAAATCTTGTAATTTCAAAGTAAGGCCATATCAGTTGGCAGCAAAGTATATAGGTTGTCCTCCCCTTTCTCATGCCTATTAGATGATTAATTCATTAAAGTTCAACAACAGTAACACTAAAAGTCCTCCTAGTCAAAATCTTGTAATTTCAAAGTAAGGCCATATCAGTTGGCAGCAAAGTATATAGGTTGTCCTCCCCTTTCTCATGCAATATAACTCGTGATGGAAAACTGTGATAATGTGCCAGTTGCTACAGCTAACCAAGTTCAATGGCCGCATTTGTGAAAGATAGTGGACTATTCAAGTAAAAATTGAAAAGTGAAGCTATGGAAATGACTAAAGCCAAGAACAAGAACTCCACAGATCATCTAGAAACATTGATTGGCACCAAAGCATCACCAATCCCTAAGATTCAAGATAACAGGACCCTTCTAGGGCATAACCCCTTGGAGGGTTGAAATCAAGAATGCAATCTCCTCATTACCATTTATATAATCAACATTGGACATCATGCATAAATGAACTGAAGTAAATTGACAAGGTCCAACAAAGATTTTACGTGTGGAAGACCCCAATTGCTCCAATTTAAAGGTAGTGACCATTTGAATCTTCCCTAATTCACATCTCGTGTAGAGTACCATCAGATTGCTAATAAATCTGTATAGCCCCGTCCCTATTGACATAGGCAAGGAGCTATGTTATGCCAGAACTGAAATCATCTTGAAGATGAATATCACATTCACCCAAACCTACCCCCCAAGAACGGCCAGGTCATCAACCCTCATTTGCGCCCATAAACTTGACAAAGCACTGCAATATGATCCAAATTCATCAACAGAACTCTTCCCTCCTTTTAAGCAAGTGAACCTATCTTTCTTTTTTATTACTAAAAAAGAAGAGCTAAAGAAATGAAAGAGGTAAGAGGAAAATTATATTTATAAAATCTAGTCGAACAATGAAATGCTACCTACATGGTAAATATCATGCAGCCAAATAACACTCAAAGATAGTACTGTAAAAGTGGAGAACTTTTTAATCATAATACGTAATTACTTGGAATCTCATGTGTTTAGATGACATTTGCATGGCCTCATCCCTTCACAGCATCTCAAAAATCTGCTCAGAAGCATGGTCAAAAGTTGACATGCAAACGTTACTGAGACAATCTAGAACTTCAAAAGAATGGAAATAAGAGATAATCGTGCACATATGCTCTGGCAAATGGCAATACAACAACACACGGGTCCAAATAACCCATAATCTCATTCCTGGCATTAAACTGATGTTTCCATGCGATAATAAACAAGAGGAACAAAATTAAAAACTTACATTGATGGGCATTTCTGCTATGAGAAGGCCACTATTTTCTTCAATACTTTTGAGAGTAACAACTTCACCTCCAACAACCATGTTGATCACAATTCCATCTGCACATAATCCAGAAACTTATGTGATATGATCAAGAAAAACAAAGCTAACATGGCACAGTTATGAATTATGTAGAAACACTTGATGAGGGGGGGAAATAAAGGAGTTTGAAGGAAGGGATTGTTAGATCACATCCTTCATACTGAATCCAAGGTGGAAGAAGAGTTATAAAGGATATGTTGTGAGTATTAGTTATGTTTCGTCTTGTTTTTCTTTACTTCCACCCTCTTATTTCTTCTCTCAAGTCTCATCTATTCTCTTGTCAAATTCACTTCTATAGTATGGAATGAGAACCTGCTGCCAAACAAGTAGCCATGCGCCTCGTATATGTTTCCTACATAAGAGCACAACAAAGTAAGTACATCTGCACGTTCTAAAGTACAGGACACAAATTCAAACAATTAAATGCAATTGTCAAATGAAGTAAACTATTTCTTTCACTATACATGCTTTTTATAGGGCAACTCCCTCCAACAATTTCAAGGATCAGATGTGCTCCCGAAGAACAGAAATGAGGAATAATAAGACTAAAGAATAAAGGACAAGAAGACTCTCATCAGCCAATGATACATTCTTTTTTAATAAATGTGGTGTTCGGGCCAGCTTGTGCGCACCTCGACTAACTCCACGAGATATTTGCTACCTCCCACCAGCAACATGTACCAAGTAATTCTATCCACCAAGGCTTGGACAGATAGAAGAAATCACCTCGTAGTTTTTTGTCTCGTAGGGAAGTGAACCAAAACCTCATTGTTCTAACCAACTTCATTGACCGCTAGGTCACACCCTTGGGTGCGTCCATGCTACATATTATACTCATGGAGAAAAAAAGATAACTGCAACCCCCAATAACAACAACTAGTACTATGCCTCAATCTTAAACAAGTTGGGAATTGCAAACCCAAATACCTAAAAAAATTAATGCACATTTAAGAGTATATCGAGTTTATTGTTTCACAACTATATTAATTATCAGCTAGGTGAGTGGAGTCACATATACACACTATATATGTGCAGAAATCGAATATCTCTTGACTGGATCATCAATGCAGTAAATGGTAGCAGCATTTGGGCTGCTAGCCCCAGCTTAGCAGTCAAGTTTTTCATTAAGTTGACTAGGCCCAATTTATTATTTATCAACAGCTTACACATATTGTGCAGCTTATTGGTTGTTTGTGCATAGCTTCTGGATATATTCTTTTCAGCTAAAGTAAGTGAAGATACATATTTAATGCATTCCCAGCTTTGAGAACTCTCCATATGTTCATATTCTTCATTCACGAATACAGAATACACTGGAATTTTCTCTCTATCTTGTGTTGCAAATCTTTCAAATTGGTGATGACTTCAGCCGACATGGTTTTAGAGCAGATTCAGGGTCTGACAAGCAAGATCATGATAATTTCTCTTAGATTGATGTTAGGGTTTTCCAATCAAGCAAACCGTACTTGCATGTCTGGATCTCTGGAGCAATTAATGGGTTATCTTTCATGTTTAAGGTTTTAAGCCTTAATCTCTGACTAATTGCTCTCATTCACCTTTGGTTGTTGCCGTTCCTCATTGTGTACTTCTCTGCCTAATCAGCAGGCAAATCCTTAAAAGTCCTCTGATCCTGATCTATATACACACATCAAATTATCCTGGAACATGGTGGTAGGTCGTCTCTTGATGTAAACATGTTTGGTGGTGTGAAGAGTCCCACGTCGGTGGTGAAGGGGATGGGTGGTCTCCTTACATGGACTTGGGCAATACTAAGCTCATGAGCTAGCTTTTGGGGTTGAGTTAGGTCCAAGGTCCATTTCTTTCACATGGTATCAGAGCAGGATTCATCCTCAACTTGATATTAGGCCCCTGTATTCTATTGTTCACGCTCCAAATATCCAGTCTTGGGCGTTGGGGGGTTTTGGGGGGAGGGGGGTGTGAAGAGTCCCACATCAATGGTGAAGGGGATGGATGGTCTCCTTATATAGACTTAGGCAATCCTCACCTCATGCGCTAGTTTTTTGGGTTGAGTTAAGTCCAATGTCTATTTCTTTCACATAGTATCAGAGCTACGCCCATCCCAATTCATTATTACCCGATGTTGGGCCTCATCTTATATTGTCTACACTCCAGATATCCAATCAGTTATCCAGTCCTGCGTATGGGGGGTGTGAAGAGTTCCACATCGGTGGTAAAGGGGATGGGTGTTCTCCTTATATGCACTTGGGAAATCCTCACCTCATGAGCTATCTTTTGGGGTTAAGTTAGGCCCAAAGTTCATTTGTTTCACAGGTCGAAGGGGGAAGTCATTCTTATTGCACTGCTTGATAAGATTAAGTTGGTTATGCAAACGTCAAGTATTCCAACCACGTGGTGACTCACTTCTCCTCACGTAGTTGGAGAGCTGTTTTGCGAATGTCAATTATCCAAAACCACGCAGCGATTCACTTCTACTTAGATCATCAGAGAGGTGCAATGACATGATATTTTTCATCTATGCAAAATATAATTAAAAAGCAATTCAAATTGCTGCTCATGTAAGGCAGAAAATAGCAACAGGAGCAACCCTCCCTATATTGCAGTCACTATACAACCTCCTCTCCTCCCTCCCTCCCCCCCAAAAAAGGGGGGGGGGGGAGTTCTACAATTTCAGTTTCTTTTCAATGTTTAAATCGTTAGACCATTTTGAATCCATCTTATCTTAGTCCATTTGACTTCTAATCACCAAGTCATATTAACAAGAAAGCAAACATGAGTAGGCAAAAACAATTTGGATAAGTACATAGTTACATTTGCTCGGTGTACCTTCTTAATATGTTTTTTCGGCTTCTAATTGGATCCTGCAATTCATGAATTGTATGTCTATCCGTCTTAAAATAAAATCCAGAACTTGAATGAAAAAATAAGAAGTTATATAGCACCTCACTATTACACACATTTAAGCATCAACCTATGAAATGCGAATCCTATTGAATCATCCTTGGGTGCATTTACACAACCAATCTATCAATTACAGCTAAATCCTAAACTAGTTGGGATCAACTATAAGAATTCTCTACATCCATTCAGATCCATTCGGTTTATTCCAATATTAAATAATGTACTTTAAGGCAAACTAGAGATCATCTGAAACTAAAGATTCTACAAATGTCACCTAGTTTTCTACACTGCACATAAACCTCCAACAAAACTGAAAACAGTCTGCAAAACACGTGACCAAATGTAAGTGTAGAAACAACAATGTCTTAATTCAAACTAATTTTTGAAAAGCAAAAAATAACCGGGTTAAATAGGAGTGTCAGATGATTGGTATTGCCTATGTGGGATCATTTGCTTCTGTTGTTATGCTCTTGGTTAAGTCCGCATGGATTATAGATAATAAGTCTTTTAAGAGAACTTCTCTCCATGTGATTTTATGTCTACCTCGTTAACAGGAATTTAACATATTTTCTTTATGGTCATATTCTGGCATCGTTTTCAGTTTCACTTTCCAACAGAGAAAATTAGGCTGCATGTTATGGGACAACGCCTTATGAAAGAATCCGAACGGAAGGAAATAATGGAACTTCAATAGCTGAGAGAAATAGGCAGGTGGAACTGAGTGGACGTAGGCCAAAGGTCAACTTTAGAAATTTATGGTTCACTCGTTCCTACTTCTTAAAGGTTAGCTCTCTTATTCTAAATTCCAAACCGAGAACAGTGCTTTCGTTTCACAACGAGCCCACTCGAGTGCTGTGATCAACAATTAAAAGTCACGCCTCTAATTAACAAATCTTCAAGTCCCACGAGTAAGAGCTATTAAAATGTTGGAAAGAATGATTAAGGTAATATAAAGCCTGCAAGAAGAGTACCTTCTTTGTTGGTAGCTCATAGTTAATCAATACACGAGCATTGACAGGTGATTCGCCAGAGTTAACAAGGGGAAGGCAAGCATCCGTGACAACTATCAAATTAGATTTCTCCTCTTCTTTCTCTGTTTCCCCTGCATCTCCATGTTCAGTTGTAGCCTGCTTGTTCCACCTCATTGTAGCCTGTCTAAACCTAGATAAAACCCTTGCACGTTCCACTTCAGCAAGATCACTGTACTGCAATTTTCACAATTTATATTCAATCAATCAAATAACCCTCAATCCCAAACAAGTTGGGATCCTCTATATCAATTTCCCACTGTTACGACTAATTTCATTCAAATAACATGTTTAACCATTCAATCTTTCTTTAACAATTTAATTTTAAAAGTAAATTGAAAACTTTGAAACGAAGAGGAAAAAGGTGTGCTGAGAGATATAACCAGAGCGGCAATTGTAATATGTGAGAGAGTGGAAAGGGCGGAACAGACAGCGTCGAGCTCGTCACGAGTGCTGCAACTAACTACAATAGGTAAACACCGAAGCCGGCCAGCCATGCCCAACAGATCCACCAAAGTCTCCTGTTTTATTTCATTTCATCTCAAAAAGATTGAAAAGTTAATTGTTCACGAAATTGGAGAGTAAGATAATTACCATTTTGAACTGAAATCTGTCGACGGCTAGGTAAAAATGACGTTGCTGGCTGAAATTGAAGTTTGACGGAGAAGTTGATAATGGAGCTTCATTGGGATCCATCAATGACCGTTTGCTTATTTTGCTTTGCCTGAATATAATTGAAGAAAAAGCTCACTGTTTCCTCCGCGGATTCACCCTTCAATTTCCCGAATACACCTTACCAGTAACCTCCCACTCCACAGTTGAGCTTGTTCGCATTTTCCATCTTCCAAAAATTTACGAATATTCTCCTTGACACCCTCGAAATTCGAATATTATGAAATACTTTATCTACCTTATTTACTTTTTCGTCCGTTCAAAAAAGAATCCTTTATAAATTTGGAAACGATTTAGCTTAAATTTTCAATTCTATCCTTAATGAGAAATTTTTACAACCACACAAATATTGTGGACTACTTTTTGACTTGTTTAGGACCACAAATTCCAAAAGTCTTTATTTTTTCTTAAATTTCGTACCCAGTCAAACAGGTTCACATAAATTGGAATGAAGGGAGTACAATTATTTTAAAATAACTTGTACTACATATTTTAAGAAAGAAAAAAAGAAAATCTTTTCTTTTGGGGGGAGGGGGAGGGGTGAGGGGAGAGGG